GGGACACCCGCACAAGATGGTGGCGGCTGCGAGCGTAGCCCGGCCGAGCGGCGAGGAAAGGCGGCAGCCAGCGGGCAACCGGGGGAGGGGGCTGCCGCGCTTCCCCCCCCCACGGCGGGCAGGGACCGCCCCCCCCTCTCCGGTCCCTTCCCCCCCGCCCGGGTCACGCCGAGCCGGGAGGGGTCCCCCGGGAGGCTGCGGGGTGACGGGAGGGAGAGGGGGCGTCCCTCATGGCTGGGGGACCCCCATTTCTGGCACCCGGCGGCTGGAGCAGGGCTTTCCCCATCCTCCCCCTTCCTTGGGCTCGGCCACAGCTGTGGGGGCCCCTTTCTCGTACCCCCTAGACATGGGCTGGGCTCCAGCCATGGGGGTCCCTTCCTACGACCCCTCAGGCCACCGGTGGTGGGCATCAGATTTTTTTGGGGGCCTTTGTCCCACACCCATTTTTTTGCAGGGGTCCCCAAAACTCAACGGGAGCATCACTACTGGGTGATGGAGTTCCCCCCCACCCCAGGGAGACTGTAGCCTTGTCGCTGCCACCCTCAGCCCAAACCAGCAACATCAAACAAACGATGGGAATAATAACACCCTATATATTTATTTTCTAGTCTGATGCTTCGGGTCCAGATGGCCTCCTGAGGCGCGGAGGTGTGACAGGGTGGAAGGGCAGCGAAAGAGGGACCGAGTGAAGAAGTTGTGTTTGCAACCAAGATAAGTGCTGAGATAGGAGCTGCGGAGGCTCCTACGCTTATTTTTTAGAGAGCGCACCACATACTTGGGCATACATATGCTCCACCTCCCACTCAGGATTGTGCAGAGTATTGCATAATACTGCCAGCTGAATTTAGAGAATTAACTGAATTGTTTTCAAAGGAAAAAATGAATGCTATTTTCCCACGTTTCCAGTCCAACTGCAGATCTTTTGTCTTTTTAACGTATGTTTAATGGTGGAATCTGAGAGCAGCCAAACAGTCTGTGACAAGTAAGTTTTGCAAAGCACTTGGATTGGACCAGAACTTGTTGAAGCCTTAAAAGTATAGGAAAACATGTTATTTAACAGTGAACAATCTTACACATCAACCTCTAAGTACTCCTTTCTGTGTGTACCTCTTAATGCATCTACCATTAACACATCACAATTCAAAAATACATAATATATTTTGTACTTGTCCTGCGTGAAAAATAACATACCAGAGATTTCCAAATAAAGCCCCAGTACTTTCACTGGTTTACACAGGGTCTCTCCAAACCCCGAGGAGCAGCTGTGAAAGAGCACCACGCTCCTGTCCACAAGGGATAAATAAAATTCTATAGGTGTTTCTGAGCTGAGTGTCAGGAAGGCAGTTAAAGAGTAAATAAAATCATTTAAATAATCAATGAGCAACTTCATTGCCTCATTTTCCTTCTTTATGTGAGAACTTCACTTTGATTTTAACAGTGGGTTTTATTTGTTGGGTTGGTTTTTTTTCCCTGGCATTTTTTGGTTCTGATGAAACTTTTGCAAACTCTTTCCTTTTGACTTCAGTTTTGAAACTCTATGCTCTTAGATTTGTACTGGAATTGGCTTATTATAATCATGTTAGGTTCCAGTCTGGCAGAGATTTGCATATGTGCTTAATGTCAAGCACATGAATAGCCCCGTTAAGTTCAGCTGGCGGCTCGTGCACAAAGCGATGTACAGACATCTCTAAAGGCCCTGTGTTAGAATGTCAAAACAAGTTACCCATCGTTTAATTTTATAATGGAGCCGTGGAACTAATGTGTTGTTTGAAAAAAATACCAACCAAACACAACCGTTCTGAACTTATCTCGAATCCCAGAGGCACAACTTAATTCAATTTCTTCACTCTCCTGGTTTTTAAAGGGTGCGAGTTCAAACCCAAATGCAAGCAGCAGCCTAGTTCAAACAGAGCCAGGCACCTTCAATCCTCTTCGAATTTTGTTTCATGTTCATTCAAGTATATAATACAGACTTAAAAGGGGGAGAATAATATCATTTGGAATTGAGAACTGACCTTTTTTGTCTCTTGATTCATTAAGCCTGAGAAATGAGTGATGTTTATGTCTCTGTGCGTCAGCTGTTTGTTCTACAGCTGGTTTCTTCAGAATTGTTGAAATGAATATATGATTGCTAAAAAGGACCAGTGCTCGTTAAAGGTTATAAGCCTGGTATCTCAGAGTGATTACCCTCCGCCACAGTTTATTTCAACTGGATTCCAAGTGCTCGGCAGCACTTTTGAAGCCCCTAATTTTATGGGGAATATCTATAACCCTGTTCTGTCCCACCAGCCTCAGAGAGGTGACACGAGCGCTCAGCGTCATCACCTTGGTGATGTTATTATTTTAATGGTAACATACAAATCTGAGTTTTCAAATCCCTTTTTCAGGTGAAGTGTTCTGAGGAGGGACACGAAAGCACAGTTAGTGGTGGAAGAATTTTTATCTTTCCAACCAAACTTGGCTAAAAGGAGTTCATTCACTCGTTGAGCAGAAATCAATGAGGGTTGAAGATATAGACTAACCTTTCAGTATTATTTAATAGAGCGCAGTCCGACAAAAAAGGCATTATCCATCAGCCAAAGTGCTGACTGAATGGGTTGTAAAGCAGCACTTTGGCTGAACATGGCATTAAAAGCTGTATAAACAGAAAGAAATTGGGCAAAACATCCCATATCCCACATTTGCTGGGAAGCTGCTCTTTTCGCAGCACAGTGACGCTGACGGCCCTGAGCATGACTGCAATTAGCGCAGCCAGTGTTCATCCGCTTGGGGGGATAATGAATTAGTACTGGCTCTTTTGGTCTTCATTCAAGCTTTTTCTTTCATGTCTTGTTTCTTTTAGTTGGGGAAAAAAAAAGAGCCATAATCACATTATCAGCCAACACTCGCCTGACCCACGAGAGGGGAAACCGCAGAGGATTAGGAACTGTTTTTTCCTGGTTGCTTGGGCAAGAGTCGGACATGGAAATATGAGAAGGTATTACCATCCTTTGTACAGTATCTCAGATGTGTTCATCGTTTTCTATTTTTTTTCCTTTTCTCCCATTATCACATAGTTAAAACTTGAAAATTAGTTGTTTTATCTGCTACCTAGAAAGGTTAAATATGAAAACAGATTCTTTTCCCTATAGGATAAAATAAGCCTTTGGTTCTCTGAGATTCCGTAGATATTTTCAAAGCTCTGCACTGAAAGTTTTCTAGGTGGGTTTCCAAAGTGTGGTTCTGTTAAAAAATCCTGATGATTTTGTAGTGTCTCTTAAGAAAAAAAAAATAAACAATAATAATAATAGTAAATAAATCATTGCTTCATCTGCTTTCCTTTCTCACTGACATCTGAAAGTACCTAATAAATACATCCCATAAAATTGCAGCTTCACAGCCTAATTAGCTGTCAAAACTTACACAGAAAGATTGTTTACGATGAAGGCTTCACTTTACACATAAAAAAAAGTGCTTAAATAATGAACTCAGGAATAAATGCAGGAATAAGAAGCAAGTAGTATTTCAAGTTAAACATCTGTCTGTTGTGTGAGACACACACAAAGAAATTGTATCCATATAAATTTTTATCAGACATCCTTAATCTAAACAGCAAACATATTTCTGACAGGCCTAGTTTATGGAACTGGGGATGTTCACTAAATGGCTGAGTGATTTTTATCACTCAATTTTGTGTTTTTAAGTATATAAACTATGCAAGGAGTGGGGTGGAAACCCCGAAGGAATGTGTATCAGTTCTGTGTTAGTGTGGGTCATCTTCAGGCGTCTGCCGGGGCCATGCAACCCCTCTTTATTGGGCTGATTTTCAACTATTTTAAGCCTTGGCCTGAGTCACTGCTGTGTCGAGTAGGTGTTTTTCAAACTCCTTTCATGAAACATGAATATGATTTTTTTTTCCCTTCAAGTAGCAGATTCCTCTTCATTGCAATGTGTTCTCAGATGCCGTACGAGCATAAGGACAGTTGGTCTTTACAAATAGACGCTGCCTTTTCACTACCAACCTGCTACATTTCCTACTATTTTGAGTTCCTGGGTGGTTCATACCATGACAAACAAATACCTGCACACCTCCACGGTTCCTGGGCTTGCAGAACACTAGCATTTGTCAGGATATTGGGAATTGATCAACACCTATAAATACTTAAAGGGTGGGTGCCAGGAGGATGGGGCCAGTCTTTTTTCAGTGGTGCCCAGTGACAAGACAAGAGGTAACGGGCACAAACTTGAACATGAGAAGTTCCATCTAAACATGAGGAGGAACTTCTTCACTTTGAGGGTTGCAGAGTCCTGGAAGAGGCTGCCCAGAGAGGCGGTGGAATCTCCATCTCTGGAAACGTTCCAAACCCACCTGGACACATTCCTGTGGGACCTGCTCTGGGTGGACCTGCTTTGGCAGCGGGTTGGACTGGATGATCTGCAGAGGTCCCTTCCAACCCCAAATCATTCTGTGATTCTGTATACATCTCTTGGCATGCAAATAGAGAAGGTTGGAGGGCGCTGCGCGTGGATGTGATACACGTTGCAAGAAGTGGTTGATATATCCATTACCTGCTGTTGTGTTCATGCTTGTTCTTTCGCCCATTCCTATCAGAAGTCCCCGGTGCCTCT